GGGCTCCGCCGGCTTCCAGGAAGCTGGATGCTGGATTTGCCATGGAAAGCACAGCACTCTTGTCATTCAAGATGGTTTGGTTTGAGAATTATATTTCTTTTTCATTACACGTTATTTATGTTGGCATGTGATGGGTTTTCATTGTGTTTTAAATTAAAGAATAAAAACATTTTTCAGGTATTTTAATTTCTAGTAGGACAAGAGAATAAAAACATTTTTCAGGTATTTTAGTTTAATTTCCAGTAGGACAAGCAACAGACATAACCCACTTTATCTCCTTTATTCGTTTCTCTATTTTGAAAATGTAGACCCTGAAGACACTAAATACACAGGAATGCAGATGTTACCCTGGAGTTGACATTTTCAACATCAGGATACATTTCATTTTGTATTTAAATTAAACATAGAGAATTAGTATCAAATGCATTTTCAAGCAAAGCTGCTAAGGCTATGAAGCCCGGCTCTGTCCTTGACCACGTAGAGTGGCCGCGCTGCTGCTCGGACCGGCTTGAGTCACGTGTGGCCTTCCCACCGGGGAATGGCGTCCGTCGGGCATGTTCTTCCCTCACGTGGTTTCTATTCACTGAAGGTTCCTCTTTAATTGCAGTCTGTTGTTTTGTGTATGGCTGTTCTCACCCTGAGACACAGTTCGCATTCTGTGCTCCGTTTCAGTTTTTCATAAAGTAAAAAGCTGAGCACTTGGGAAATGAAATGCATGGATGTGAGGTTACTAGGCCCTCTGCCTGGGGACCAGCCAGTCCTGGGCCCCGAATGACGAACAGACAACGGGCAGTGCATCTCGGGGCTTCTCCATTTGTTTTCTTTTCCTGCTTGTTTCCAAGTTTTGTTTGGATGTTAGTCTATCAGAGGATTATAAAAACATGGAGGGGGGATGCTAAAGGAATTTCACTTATCTTGCAAAATATGAGAAAACAAACATTTTGCTGGTACAGAATTGCTTCTAAGCACCTACTTAACCCACCTTTCTTCACAGACAGGGCAAGGGAGCATCCATGCATAAAACTTGTCCTCCTATTTGCAAGAATTTTTTTCTAGACAACATGTTTTCGGAATGTATCAGTCCCTGTCCTCCGAGAACACCTGCATCCTTTCTTCCAAAGTATAGGCCCCGGGAGAGAGCCAAGGCGGCCTTTGCTGTAGACTCAGCTCAAAGCACAGATCCCGGTCGTGGCTGGGAATGGTTGGAAGGCCTCCGGAGCCCATTCGGCATCCTGCCTGCCGTGGTCTCTCAGGGGCTTCCTGCAGAGAAAGGCAGAGGGAAGGAGTCCTTGGTGGGACCCTGGTCACAAGGAGCATTCCTCAGATGAATACAGTTCCCAATCACCTGGATCCTGGGAAAAGGCAGATTCCAGCTCAGAAGCCCTTGGGCCTGATTCTGCATCTCAGCCAGTGTCAGGCCACCACAGCGCATCCGGGTCCCCTCAGAGCAGTCAGGTCCCGGGCACAGGGGAGAGTGCGGAAGCTGGTGGTTTTCTTTCATGTTTTGTATTCAGTGCTGGCTCCCCTCTCCCTGCTGCTGGCTCCCCTCTTCTTCCTCCTCTCTGCCCCCGCCCCACCTATTCCCCCATCCTGATCATGCACTCACCCCGTCTGTCCCACCTGATACTGCCCCTACTGTTCCTCACTCAGAAATGCTTGTGATGTAATTTTGATGTGATTTTGGACATCTCCTACCCCTTCTCACTGTATGTCTCACTCTATCACCAATGGTAAAAGACAAACTTCAGACAAACTGAATGCCACAGAGCTTCATGACACATAAATGTTTGTGACCAGGGCAGCCAGGACCCAGCACAGGCTCAGGGTGGCTTCGTGGCTGCTGCGTGGTCCAGTCAGATTTGTGGATAGAGAAAGGACAGTGATGCACAGAAAACTGTATGGAGGCACAGAAGCAGCCGGACAGGCACTGCGTGGTGTGGGCCTCATTGAAACATGGTGTGAACCAGGCCACGGTGCGTGGTGACCACTGGCTGCTGTGATCCGCTGAGATTCAGCTGCTAGGGCAAGGGTGGGTTCTGTTCACACGCCCGGTTAGGCCACAGTCCCTGCGTGTGGAGAGGCCTTCAGGTCGGCCCCGAAATGTGTCAGGAGGCAGCTGAGGCTGAACGGCCTATAAACGGTGGTCACACAGGATACCACCATTTAGGCCGTCAGCCAGTGGACGTGGGCAAGTGTCCTTTTTCAACTTTGTGATTAGTTGCATTAATAGAGGTAGAATAATCAGATAACTTTTAAACAAAATTTATGTTTTCCTTCAGATATTTTCCACTTTTGTTGCCTAAAGCAAACAATTCACAAGAGAAATGTCAAATATCTACTTGACTGAAAACTTCCGTACACTCAGCTCCTACTTTTTAGTATGTTTAATTTTTAACCTCTCTCTCTCTCTCTCTCTTCCTCTCCCCCTCTCTCCTCTCTCTTCCTTCTCATTTGTAAAACAAGGTACTTATCTTCAACCAAAATTCCCAGGTAATTATTCTGTTCTTAGAAACTCAGATATGGAAAACCCTCCCTTCCTTACAGTCGTACGACAGCAACTTTTAAGAGGTTCTTGGGAACATTATTCAAACTTCTGGCAAAATTCTTGAGTTCACGTATGGCAGTTCTGGAAAGCGTTTCCTCACACGTTGAATATCATCATCAAAGATCTTGGTCAGACTGTGTTTTTATCTGTGTAATTGGAAATGAAGAAAGAGAGGTCCATAATCCCTTGTCAATCATAAAGCATTGTGGGTAAACTATTTCTTTTGGGGCCTGACCTGTGTACTGTGGAGCCACATTGGAAAAACATGAATCTATCTTGTGGTCTATATTTTGCCCTCAGAAATGTCCTATCATGAAATTAAGTTTCTTTAAATCCCCATGGCAAAAAAAGTGCATTTTTTCTAGGTAAAGATCTGATTTAGAAAAACAATGGGAAAGTCACCTTGGATTCACCTCTCTTTATCGGGATGTTTTTTGGCTATTTCTCTTCCCACCCCATTTTTACGTGTGACAGAAATCTCAGATCTTGACAGTGTTTTCAGAAACCATTTTGTCCGTCTCTAAGGGTAGGAAGCTAAACAGCCCTATTGATTTTTGAGGCAGGTCTTAGGACCCTGAGGCTCTTTTACATGTTTGCTTTATTCTTGGGTAGCCCGGTGATTAGGCACACGTGTCCTGCTTAGTAGGAATGTAACTCTGTGGTAAACAAGAAAATTCACATCATTATAAAGTCAGAATCCATATCTGTGGTCACGGAGAAGCAGAGGTAAACCCTGCCTTGTCAGCGTTGATCCAGGCTGCCTTAAAAGCACAGGCTTTTCCAAAAGAGCGTTTCCCTGTTTGCTCACCCAAAGACTCACCCAACCAGAAATCTGCCCAGGGTATCAATAACCAAGTGTTTCCCCAGGAGTGCCAAGTAGTCAAATAAATTACCATTCCTTTAACGAACCCGTTTTCCTAAACGAATGCCAGATGTTCTTCAGGTGGCCTGAAAAGATGCCAGAATCCCCCGATTTCCATAAATAATGGGAAACCTGTCAAGAAGAATAAGCAAAGATCCATCATTCTCAAAGTCTCCTGCATTCCTGATTTTTTTCTCTGTCAGCCACACACACAAAAAAACGCTTGTTATCTCAAAATAAAAGAAATGTTTGTAACGACTGAAAATTCCTGATTCATGTTTCCATGTGTATAATAAATGAAGCTTTCATCTTGGCCTTCCAAGTCCACTGAAGCCATTCTGCATCACGCACTCATGTGCAGAAGATGCATCGTGGGGCAGGAAACTTGGGATCCCTCTGGAGCAGCTGCTGGTGCAGGACAAGAGCTCAGGCCATGACGTTGCTCTGTCTTCCTCCAATCTGCAACCTTTGCTTATAGGAGACTTTACCACGCTCCTGTTAGGACAGCAGCTCCACCAGGGGCACAAGGCGGTCCTCCTCCTGACACCTCGAGACCTTAGAGCCCCAGGCTGCTCGCCTCACCATAACAGTCTGCAGTTTTATGTCCGATGTTTGCCCGAGCAGCAATTTATTTAACTTTTCACCCATCTATATTTATAGTTTGCAGTCTGACAGTCTTTGTCTTTTAAATGTATTCTTTAAAACGTTAACATTTTTTAAGTCTTTTAAACACATACTCAGCATGCAGGATTCTAAGGAAAGTACAAAAAATAAATGTGGGCTGGGCACGGTGGCTGATGCCTGTAATCCCAGCACTTTGGGAGACCGAGGTGGGTGGATCACAAGGTCAAAAGATCAAGACCATCCTGGCCAACATAGTGAAATGCCTTCTCTACTAGAAATGCAAAAATTAGCTGGGTATGGTGTTGAGTGCCTGTAATCCAAGCTTCTCAGGAGGCTGAGGCAGGAGAATCACTTGAACCCAGGAGGCAGACGTTGCAGTGAGCCTAGATCACGCCACTGCATGCTGGCCTGGGTGACAGAGTGAGACTCTGTCTCAAAAAGTAAAAACAAATAAATAAAAACAGATGCAAATGAATCTTTGAGCTCACAGAGCAAGTCCTTAGGGATCTTATTATGTTTTGTTTCTTTTTACTTTTTATTATATGTATAGCTTTAGCTACAACTAACATAAAATAAACGACACACTCTTGAAGCATACGATTTGATAAGCGTTATTTCATTTTGAATTTGATAAGCGTTATTTCACTTTGAATTTGATAAGCGTTATTTCACTTTGAATTTGATAAGCGTTATTTCACTTTGAAGCATGCGATTTGATAAGCGTTATTTCACTTTGAAGCACGGGATTTGATAAGCGTTATTTCACTTTAAAGCACATGATTTGATAAGCGTTATTTCACTTTGAAGCACGGGATTTGATAAGCGTTATTTCACTTTGAATTTGATAAGCGTTATTTCACTTTGAATTTGATAAGCGTTATTTCACTTTGAAGCACGCGATGTGATAAGCGTTATTTCACTTTGAAGCACGCGATTTGATGAGCGTTATTCTTTCACTGTGTGGTTCTTTGCCATGGTATACCTGATAAGCTGCAGCTCTTCCGTGTGCAGGCAGAAGGTTGGCCGCAGCTGTACATCTGTGCGGCTTTATGGTCTCTCATGTTTAGCTCCTCCTGCTCCCTCCGTCCCAGGCAACCACGGACCCCGAAGACCAGCTTTCGTCGTCCTGACTTCTGTGTTGATAGGGCCATAGAGTATGTACTGTTTCGAGACCATTTATATTTAGCCTGATGATCAGTAAGGTTGAGATCAAAGCCACACATTTGCCCTTGGGTTTCTATTTTGCCCATCTGTTTTTTTGTTTGTCTGTTTGAAACAAATTTTCACATCATCTTTATTTTTTCACAGCTTTGTTGAGGTAGAATTTATATATCATAATATTCACCCGTTGTAAATGCATAATTGAATGATTTCCATTGAAGTTATGGAGTTTTCCACGTAACACCACAATTCAGTTTTCAGCATTCCCACGACCCCCAACATTTCCCTCATGCCTCATCTGAGTTCACCTCCAGTCTCTCAGACTCCCAAACTACTGATTTTCTTTCTCCACAGATTTTTTTTCTAGAAATTACATGAACATCAAATATTCAATGTGCACACCTCTGTGTCTGCCCTCTCTACTCTTCACGATGTGTGTGTGATTCATTTGGGGTTTGTTTTTTTTTTTTTTTTTTGAGACAGAGTCTTGCTCTGTCGCCAGGCACCAGGCTGGAGTGCAGTGACTCGATCTCAGCTCACTGCAACCTCCGCCTCCCGGTTTCAAGCAATTCTCCTACCTCAGCCTCCCAAGTAGCTGGGACTACAGGCCCGTGCCACCACATCCAGCTAATTTTTGTATTTATTTATTTTTTTAGTAGAGACGGGGTTTCACCATGTTGGCCAGGATGGTGTTGATCTCTTGACCTCGTGATCTGCCCCCTCGGCATCCCAAAGTGCTGGGATTACAGGCGTGAGCCACCGCACCTGGCCCGTTCGGGTTTTGAGTGCATCCCCAGTTTGCTTTTTCTTAATTGGTAAGTAACACCCAATGGGATGAATGTGTTCATTCATGTGTCTCCTGATGGATGCCTGGGTTGCTTCTAATTTGGAGTTATCATGAATAACGGTGTGTGAACATTCAGGTGCATGTCTGTGTGGACGTGAGCATTCCTTTCTCTTGACGTATATTTATAGGACTGAACTGCTGATTTATACAGTAAGTAGATGTATGTTTTTAATAGACTCAGTCTCTTTCCAGGGAACGTTTTTTAATGCTTGTACCATTGAGCATTCCCACCAGCACCGTAGGAAGGCATCAGTCTCTTCTTCGACGGCTGGTAACCCCAGACTTTGAGATGACAGCCATTCTGCTGTGTGTGCTGTGGCATCTCGTAGTGATTGGCTGTTGTTTTCAAAGACTGTTTCTTCTGGGCATACAGTTTTTTTGCTGACAGTTATTTTTGCTTTTACTCTCTCTTCTAGCCCTCAGCGTGCATGTCAGTTCCCTGTCTCCTGGCTTCCCTGTGTCTGTCGTGAAGCCGGCAGCCGCCGTCCTCACCACGCACCTCAGTGTCTGATGGGTCTTTTCTCTCCAGCTGCTTTTAAAATGTTCTCTTTACCACTGGTTTTCAGCAATTTGGTTGTGGCAGGCCTTTTAAGTATTCATTGTGTGTCTGTGTGTATGTGTATGCTTCTTTACTTGAGATTATTTGAGCTTCCTAGATCTATTCACTTAGTTTTCATCAAATTCAGAAAAGTCTTGGCACCTATCTTCTCAAATGTTTTCCTCCTATTTCCTTTACTCCTCCCAGGGTCCCAAGTATGATTACGTGACACATAGGTGTTCAGCTTGTTCCCAAGACTGTCTTTTGGAGAGTCTCCCTCTGTTCCCCAAGCTGGAGTGCCGTGGTGTGATCTCAGCTCACTGCAACCTCCGCCTCCTGGGTTCAAGCGATTCTCCTGCCTCAGCCTCCCGAGTAGCTGGGATTACAGGCAGGCACCACCACACCCGGCTAATTTTTGTATTTTCAGTAGAAACAGGGTTTTGCCATGTTGACCAGGCTGGTCTTGAACTCCTGACCTCAGGTGATCCACCCACCTCGGCGTCTCAAACCACCGGGATTACAGGCGTGAGCCGCCACACCTGGCCTGAGATTGTCTTCGTGTTCTTCAGTCTTTTCACTCTCTGTGTGTCATTTGCAATTTACTCAATTGCTGTTTTATTAAATTCACTCATCTGCTTTAGGAAAACATGGTCAGAGTCAATCATCCAGACTTTGAGAATCAATACTATGTTTTGAAGCTAAAGCCTTCTCAGTGAAGAAGTTCTTAACTAGGAAAGGCATAAGTGGAGCAAGGCCATGGGCTGCTGCCGGGGTTTCTTACTGTTGTTTGTTGGCTTCTTTTTAAATAAAGTTGTAGCCGCACGCAGCACCTGGCACTTGTAATCCCAAGGCTTTGGGAGGCTGAGGTGGAAGGATTGCTTGAGCCCAAGAATTTGACACTAGCCTGGCCAACATAGTGAGATAGTGAGACACCCTCTCTACCAAATAGAAACCATGTTGGCCAGGCATGGTGGCACATGCCTGTAGGCCCAGCTGGGGGAGGAGGATGACTTGGGCCCAGGAGCTTGAGGCTACTCTGAGCCATGATCAGGCCACTGCACTCCAACCTGAGAGACACAGTGAGACCTTGTCTCAAAAAATAAAAATAAAAGCGAAGTTTGGTTGGAGTACAGCTGCGTTTATTTATTTATGTTTTCTGTGATTTGCTGCGATTTGTGTTGAAAAAATTCAGTAGCTAAACCTGAGACCATATGGCTTGCAAGGCCTGAAATGCTATCTTACTGTTTACATAAAAGGTCATATAAACCGTAATCTGGAATATTCTAAAGGGATTTGATCACTGTTTATCCCAAGTGTCACCATTGTTTTTCATTTACATAGAGACTTTATCCTTCCAAAAAAGCATTATTTCATTTATGCAACATTTGATGGACTATATATACTCACATATAATTTGTTTTCTTCACAAATTTCAGCTACTAACAGGCATTGCCGGTTTAACACAAGTTTGCTGCTCCAGTAAGAGAGAGAAACGCTTGCGTCCCCTCGAGAGTCGCGGTGAGCGTTCAGGAGCCCCGAGCTCTGAGTTCCAGCGGCACGTGCGCCTCTTGGGTAAGGCTGTCATCTTTGCAGCTGCCACAGAGAGACTGTCTGGATGGCCACGTGCCTGGGCGTGGTGGACACCTCCCTGCCACTGCTCCTAGCTGTCCACATGGCAGCCAGAGGGGCAGACCTCCAGGAGGGGAAGGGGGCAGCCGGATCAGGGCTGGCATTTGCCTGCTTGAGCCATCCTGGGGTCGGAAGCATTTAGGCATCCACGTGCACCTTAGCAGGAGGAGGCTGTTCCTTTGGGAACCACCATTTACCTCTGAACATTCCCAGGCAAAACGCCTGCATAAAAAGGAATCTGTTTTCTGCTCTACTGTCAAATTGGAGACCTTTGGGGAGAAATCGGAGAAAAAGGACTGCATGGCACACAAACACAGGGCAACTGTCACAAGAAGCATTCCATCATGCACAAAGGCACACGCGCAAAGCCTTCTCCCTGGGCCTCCCAAGGCAGTCACCATCAGCATCTCACCCTTCACCTGTAGGACACGTTCCTGGAATCCCATCTTCCTTCTGCCATTTTTCCAACATATACAGCACTGGAGCAATACAAGGGTTTATTTTATTTTATTGAGACAGAGTCTCACTTTGTCGCCCAGGCTGGAGTGGGGTGGCATGATCTCGGCTCACTGCAACCTCTGCCTCCTGGGTTCAAATGATTTTCCTACCTCAGCCTTCAGAGTAGCTGGGACGACAGGGTCACCAAATCTGCTTAACGTTTGTATTTTCACTAGAGACAGGGTTTCCCCATGTTGACCAGGCTGGTCTCAAACTCTGACCTCAAATGATCTGCCCGCCTAGGCCTCCCAGAGTGTTGGGATTACAGGCCTAAGCCACTGTGCCTGGCCAGAACAATGTTAAGTTTTATAATGGTGATACCAGTAACTCAATTTTTCTCATCTCTACTCTAAGTAATTTACAGCGTTATGTTAGCTAATCCTTGCTGCTGTCCTGTGAGGTAAGAGCTACCATCATTCCTGTCTGCAGACATGGAAACCCGAGCTTAGAAAGATCAAATGAAGCCAGTTTATGAGTGAGCATGCTGGACAGCGTTCTTCTGAAGGAATGCACAGCCATTTGCCCACGTGTGTCCACGGACAGAGTATTTGCAGAAATGGTGATTTCTATGGAATTTCACAAATTAATGACACCAAATGGATCTTTATAATGCTGTTTCTCCAAATATTTCGTTGCCTATTCTGTAGCTGAAATTCTGTTTAAAGAATATCAATCTTAAAAGGTAAAAGTGTCATGTAATCCCAGCGTGTATCATTTGATTCCACCTGCAATGCACTCCACACAGCACGTGTTGTTTCTTTCAGGCAGCGGGGCTCCCTGTTTCGGGAATAGAGAGAAGGATGATGGCTGCAGCTGGAGGACCGTCCAAATGTCCTCTGCAGAGAGAGTAAGAGTGGCTCTTTCCCTCCCCGCAGGGAGAGCAGCTGCCCTGTTGACTTTGCTGCCCGTGTGCAGTTTCAGCCGAGAGCGTTTCCATCCTCCATGGAAGAGCCCGCTGGCCCAGGGTGTCGGCGGCCCCATGGGCAGGGTCCACTAGGACTTGGTGTCCCTGGCGTGGCTGGGCTCTAGGTCCGTGCATGAGGGCGGTTGAGACAAGGTTTTCTCCTCCGTGTCTCCAAAAGACCGTCGGTCTCCCACAAGCTTCTGGGAAACCCATGCAAGATCTGTCCGATACATAAGGATGCAATTTCACGCATGACAGCTCAATAAAGCATATTTAATATATTCAGCTCCTCAAATTTAAACCAGACACCTGGCTTGAGTGAAATTTCCAGTTGAGTTAATATCCCTCCCAGCCTCTGACATTTGTAACTGTTCACATGTTAACCCAAACCATTTGCTCATTCACCTTAGTAAAAGCATAGTTTGGGATTTTATGTGCTGGGATTGGACATCAAAGAATTGTTTTTATTATAGAGCTTTAACTGGCCAAGTCTGAATTCAGAACAGACAGCGTTCAGCAGCAGAGCCTGGTGAGCAGTCATGCTCCATAATAAAACAGGTGAGCTGTGATCCATCAGACCCTAAACCCAAGTCCCCACCAATCTGGAACCTTCGGAAAAGTCCCTGTGCTTTGTGCAAATGAAATTTATCTTGCCTTTCCCCCGATTACTTTTGCTTTCGTTTTCTTTCTCAGAAGATGTTTTTTCTGGGTCTTTCTCAAAAGAGATATTTTCCGGATCATGATGGCTCAGGATGATTTGGCTACGTCTAACAGGTCTCAGGTTCACGGTCTGTGGACTGCTCTGGGAGACTGGACCAGGTAGATGTCTCTGGGAATCCAAGAGTATTAAATGGAAAAACAGAATAAATGGCCCTCATGAGCTGTGAAGAAGATGGTTATTCTCTGCCCCACCCCAGACCCAGCCGATGCCCTATTCTAAGGCCACCACTAGCCCCAAGGGTCAGCGCCGACACTGGGTGGAGCCACGTGGTGGAGAACCCCAAGCCCTGAGCAGGTGTGAGGCCACCTGTGGCCAGGTGGACGGCAGCTGCACCCTCATGGTTCTCATGACACCCCTAAGAAGAGCTCTGGAAACCTACACCCCGTGTACTCTGTTTAACACAGGAATGCAGGTTCCTCCTCCTCTATCTCTCAGGAAATCCCATCATGATCTCATTCTGCAGGGTCACGATGCTCCCTCCTTCTGCTCCCAAAAATAACAGCATTAAGGATATTGAATCCAACACACAAGGAAAACTCTAAGAGGAAAGCCTCTGTGCTTTCTCTAAAACAAATGGAAATGCCCATGAATCAAAGCAAAAGCTTTTGGGTTCCCAACGCCCGCTGACTGTCCTCCTCAACCCTCTCGAGGTGATGTGGAGAAGGTCAGGGGCCCCTCAGGGTCTGCAAAGGAAGGCCGGCTCCCAAGAACTACCCGAGACTCTCGCTTCTCCTTTCCTTGGAAAAATACACTGTTTATGGTTAATTGTTAAGCTAGAAATAGACTCAGTAAAATCAGCTTCAACCTGCGAATAGAGGGGACGGCATGGAGGTGGGAAGAAACAGATTAGGGTGGGAATCGGCTTGCTGCTTTTGACGGTATGAATGTTTTTCATGAAGTGGTAATATTCTCTATCCACAGAAGTTTGAAAAAGAAAAAATTGGCTTAAATTTTTAAAAAGCAAAACAAAACAAAATGTTTTGTTTCACACAGGGAAAAACTTGACTGGAAAACAAGAGTAAACATGGTCCCTCAAGGATGTGTCAGCAGTGAGTGGGGCTGGGGCTCCGGGTGCAGCCTGCTCTGTGGAGCTGGGTTCAGACCATGGCAGGAACAGCGGGGAAGCTCAGGCGGGCCTCACTGTCCTCCAGAGCCCAGCGCCAGTGTGCAAGTGTGCACAGTTGGGGCGAAGCCACGTCAGTGCGCCAGAGCTGAGAGCACTTCAGGTGAAGCCTGGCAGGGCCTGAAGCAAGTCCTGTGCCACCTCTTCCCAGAAGGCCCTGCCACCTCTGCTCACAAGGCCCATGCCTCCTCTGCCCAGAAGGCCCTGCCTCCTCTGCCCACAAGACCAGTACCACCTCTGCCCACAAGGCCCATGCCTCCTCTGCCCACAAGGCCTATGCCACCTCATCCCACAAGGCCCTGCCACCTCTGCCCACAAGACCAGTGCCACCTCTGCCCACAAGGCCCTGCCACCTCTGCCCCCAAGGCCTATGCCACCTCTGCCACAAGGCCCATGCCACCTCTGCCCACAAGGCCCTGCCACCTCTGCCCACAAGGCCTATGCCACCTCTGCCCACAAGACCAGTGCCACCTCTGCCCACAAGGCCTATGCCACCTCTGCCCACAAGGCCTATGCCACCTCTGCCCACAAGGCCCTGCCACCTCTGCCCCCAAGGCCTATGCCACCTCTGCCCACAAGACCAGACCACTTCTGCCCACAAGACCAGTGCCATCTCTGCCCACAAGGCCTATGCCTCCTCTGCCCACAAGACCAGACCACTTCTGCCCACAAGACCAGTACCACCTCTGCCCACAAGACCAGTGCCACCTCTTCCCAGAAGGCCCTGCCACCTCTGCTCACAAGGCCCATGCCTCCTCTGCCCACAAGGCCTATGCCACCTCTGCCCACAAGACCAGACCACCTGTGCCCACAAGACCAGTGCCACCTCTGCCCACAAGGCCTATGCCACCTCTGCCCACAAGGCCCTGCCACCTCTGCCCACAAGGCCCTGCCACCTCTGCCCCCAAGGCCTATGCCACCTCTGCCCACAAGACCAGACCACTTCTGCCCACAAGACCAGTGCCACCTCTGCCCACAAGGCCCATGCCTCCTCTGCCCCCAAGGCCTATGCCACCTCTGCCCCCAAGGCCTATGCCACCTCTGCCCACAAGACCAGACCACTTCTGCCCACAAGACCAGTGCCACCTCTGCCCCCAAGGCCTATGCCACCTCTGCCCACAAGACCAGACCACTTCTGCCCACAAGACCAGTGCCACCTCTGCCCACAAGGCCCATGCCTCCTCTGCCCACAAGACCAGTGCCACCTCTGCCCCCAAGGCCTATGCCACCTCTGCCCACAAGGCCCATGCCTCCTCTGCCCACAAGACCAGACCACCTCTGCCCACAAGGCCTATGCCACCTCTACCCACAAGGCCCATGCCTCCTCTGCCCACAAGACCAGACCACCTCTGCCCACAAGGCCTATGCCTCCTCTGCCCAGAAGGCCCTGCCTCCTCTGCCCACAAGACCAGACCACCTCTGCCCACAAGACCAGTGCCACCTCTGCCCCCAAGGCCTATGCCACCTCTGCCCACAAGGCCCTGCCACCTCTGCCCCCAAGGCCTATGCCACCTCTGCCCACAAGGCCCATGCCTCCTCTGCCCAGAAGGCCCTGCCTCCTCTGCCCACAAGACCAGTACCACCTCTGCCCACAAGACCAGTGCCTCCTCTGCCCACAAGGCCTATGCCACCTCTGCCCACAAGGCCCTGCCACCTCTGCCCCCAAGGCCTATGCCACCTCTGCCCACAAGACCAGACCACTTCTGCCCACAAGACCAGTGCCACCTCTGCCCACAAGGCCTATGCCTCCTCTGCCCACAAGGCCCATGCCTCCTCTGCCCACAAGGCCCATGCCACCTCTGCCCACAAGGCCCTGCCACCTCTGCCCCCAAGGCCTATGCCTCCTCTGCCCACAAGGCCTATGCCACCTCTGCCCACAAGGCCTATGCCTCCTCTGCCCACACCTGCAGCTCTCAGGCTGGGCAGGAAAGACTTCTCTCTACACCTCATGTGCACATGCTTTCTGAGCAGTCACCCACCCAGTCCCCCAGGGAGGCGGGTTCTTCCATGGACTGAGATTCTTTGGAAATGAGTATTACACCTGGGCCGCCCCTGGAAATGACCAAGGGAGTAGGCCCCGCCTGGAAATAATGACCAAGGGAGTAGGCCCCGCCTGGAAATGACCAAGGGAGTAGGCCCCGCCTGGAAATAATGACCAAGGGAGTAGGCCCCGCCTGGAAATGACCAAGGGAGTAGGCCCCGCCTGGAAATAATGACCAAGGGAGTAGGCCCGGCCTGGAAATGACCAAGGGAGTAGGCCCCGCCTGGAAATAATGACCAAGGGAGTAGGCCCCGCCTGGAAATGACCAAGGGAGTAGGCCCCGCCTGGAAATGACCAAGGGAGTAGGCCCCGCCTGGAAATAATGACCAAGGGAGTAGGCCCCGCCCGTGGAAATGACCAAGGGAGTAGGCCCCGCCTGGAAATGACCAAGGGAGTAGGCCCCGCCTGGAAATGACCAAGGGAGTAGGCCCCGCCTGGAAATGACCAAGGGAGTAGGCCCCGCCTGGAAATGACCAAGGGAGTAGGCCCCGCCTGGAAATGACCAAGGGAGTAGGCCCCGCCTGGAAATGACCAAGGGAGTAGGCCCCGCCTGGAAATAATGACCAAGGGAGTAGGCCCCGCCTGGAAATGACCAAGGGAGTAGGCCCCGCCTGGAAATGACCAAGGGAGTAGGCCCCGCCTGGAAATGACCAAGGGAGTAGGCCCCGCCTGGAAATGACGGAGACCTCACCTGCAGACCTGGCTTCCAGCAAACTCACCTTGTGTGTCGGGGCTCAGGGGTCCTGAGGCAATGCTTGGTGAAGCCTCTGCATTCTCCTCGACAGTCTCTGGGGTCTGTACTGGGGCAGGGCTGTGCAGCTTCCCTGTTTGGCAGGATGAGGAGAAGCTGGAGAAGTGAATGGAGACAGGAATGAGGGTTAAAATATGACCCCAGGTGCAAGTGTGGGTTCCCAGCACCCAACGAGGGGCCCCACAGGCCAGCCTCAGATACGTCCTGGCAGCGTAGCAGCGTCCCCACGCTTGCCATCCGTTCTTTCCTCCTTCTTCTCCTCCTCTTCTCTCTTGTTTTCTTCTTCTTTTTATTCTTTTTGGAGACACAGTCTTGCTCCTCCACCCAGGATGGAGCGCAGTGGTGAAATCACAGCTCACTGCAGCCTCGACCTCCCAGGCTCAAGTGATCCTCCCACCTCAGCCTCCCAAAGTGCTGGGACTACAGGCGTGAGCCACTGCCCCTGCCCTGTCTTTTTTCTTATCTAAACATTTCCCCATGAAGCATGTGAGGAAAATCCTTCAAAGGAAGAGGAACTATGCAAACGTCTTCACGCCAGTGAACGAATGGGGCTGCCCACGTTGGGCAGGGTGGCCGGCCTCCGGGGAGAGGCCTCCAGGGCCGGGTGCTCTCGCCCCGCTCCCCCAGCTCACTGGGAGAACT